TTATTTATTTATTTTAATTAATCATTTAATTACAAAAAATTGTTTTCTCTTTTTTTAAAGATATTATAAATAAATACAAAAAATTATCTTTAAACCTTTAATTTAAAAAAATAAAAAAATAATTATTTTGAAATAAAAAGAATAATTTTATGGGTTATATCATTGATTCATGAATTTGATAGGAAAAGAGCATGCCTATGCCACTCTTACGTTATCCAATGATTTAGTACTTCAATTTGTTTTTTAATTGTCAATTTAGTGATTATACCACTAAGGTACTGTTTGGGATTAGTTGCTTTAATTTATACCAACTTTTTTTTTTTGTTTATTAATAATGGATATGATGATTAAAGTGTGACTTAGCCTCTCTGCCCCTTCAACTTCTTGTTATTGAGGATTTTAGCTCCTTAATAAATAATATCTTTTATTTAACCCTCATACTTATTGTTTTTTAGGGTTTTAGCCCAAAATTGGCTATAGTTAGTCACATTTGTCCCTAAGTTGCTAACTCATGCCTACTTAGTGTCGTGTCATTGCCACAATTCAAGGAAAAATGGTCCAACTTGGACCAATAAAGGTGAAAAAGCTCAACATGACACCTTTGAACTTGTTGTCTTTGAGGGTTTTAACCCTTTAATATATAATATGAGAATTTTGGCTCATGATCTATACATAGTCTAAATAATAAATCCAAAGTAATAGTTAGAGTAACATAAATAATATGTCTACTCATTTCTTTGTTAAGTTATACTTCGCCAATGTTCTGTAAGCAAAAAAGTGGTAACATGGCATGTGGATGTAGATTCCAAGTTAATTTTAATTTGAAAAATAAAATTAATTTTTATTTATTCCACCTCTCTCTTCCACCTTTTCAAATGTCTCTCCTCATGTCAAAACTCCTACTTTAGCCATAGTTGTTAGGTTTGCATCACCTATATCTTCTTAGTGATAATGGTAATGTTAACCTCAAATACCATTTCCATCACAAATAAAACAAAAGGCCCACAAATACTGATACCCAATAAGTGAAAATTAGGGGCTTTGAAAGAGACTTATGGCTCAATGGAAAATTTTACATTGATCAAATCTAGGGTTTTTTTTTATGAAAAAGGAGAAATTGGAGAAGGGGTGCAATAAGTAGAAATTAATTTTATTTTTTAAAATGACAACAGATGCAAGGTCCACATGACATATATTCATTTTTATGCTAAAATGACACCAATGAAGTATGACTCATAAGAGAAATAAGTGGTTATGTTATATTACTTCCATTATTAATTTTTGGGTTTATTATTTGAAAGATGTATAGTTTAGGGGCTAAAATTCTCATATTGTATGTTGAAAGGTTAAAACCCTCAAAGACAACAAATTTGAGAGCACCAAGTCAACTTCTTTCACCTCCATTAGTCCAGCTTGGACCATTTTTCTTCCAACGTGACAATGACATGGCACTAAGTAGGCATGGGTTAATGGATTAGGGACAGATATGATTAATTGCCATCAATTGTGGGTCAAAACCCTAAAAAACAACAAATTCAAAGGTTAAATAATAGATATTTTTGTTGAGGGGCTAAAACCCTCAATGACAACAAGTTAGAGAGGGCATAGAGGGTTAAGCTTTAAAGTGTATAACTAAACATAATTCTTTTATATTTTAAATAAAAAAATATTTTATAATTTAAACTACACTAAATTATAAAATATTAAAAATTAAATTAAAACATCACCCTTAATATATATAAAAAAAATCTATTCATCTACTAAAATACTATTTTGCATACCAAACTCTATTTTAAATCTCTTCTTAACTAGTCACTTCTCTCCTTGGTGGTTTGCGTTAGTTGGTTCTCCCTAGTACCGAAAGTACTTCCCACAATGGAGAACAAAACACAGGTCCACTCTGGCAGTGGAATTAGTCCATGTGGCCATGTCGAGGAGGATCCCTCTCACCTAGACACTTTAATTAGGCAAAACCACTTCTTATCTTTTCATTGGCTAACCCAAAAGTATATTAATATTAGTAATAATTTTTGGCTTTGACCCCTAAAACAATTAATATTAATTTTCCTCGACATAAATACCCGTTTCCTAGTTTCACCCCTCTTTTATTTAATTTATACTTATAAATAACCATTAGCCAACTGTAGGACAAAAAGTTTTTATCATAACTGTGAGATCCATATTATAATGCCACGAATAATAATTCTAATTAATGTGATGACATATATATGATCTAGGCAAAGCCAGCTCTCTCCCCATATGTCTTTTGTCACCCGCCTTCACTGCCCGTGCAATACAATCCCACAGCACTTGAGATGCATAGCCATCCATAAACTTGTATATAAATACTAAGATTATGAATTGGACGCCCTAGCCTTTTTTGTCCATCGTGCCTAGTGTCCATTTTATTGGTCATTAATTTTTTTAATTTATTGTTTGAGTATTTTAGTATCAATTTTTGTAAATTTTGAAATTAATATTTTTTAAATAATTTTAGAGATATAGCTTTACATTAGAGACTTATATTTTTAAATAAACTCATAAAATAATACTTACTTATACGTGAATTAATTTTTAAAGTTTTATTTTATTTGTCGTTATATTATATGTAGTTTTATGTGATGTCTTTTATAGTATGTAAAAAATATTTTTCATATGTAATTCTCACCTTAGCAATTGCATGTAATGATATGTAAAATTGACATAAAATAATAATAAAATATGAGTTAAATTAACTTTGCTTTTATAATATATTTGGTTTGAGGGGAGAGGAGGGGAGAGGAGGGGAGAGGAGGGGAGAGGAAAGGAGGAGAGGAGGGTCATTTATATTATTTTTAGAATTATTTTATTTATCCAAATAAGAAAAGGCAAGAGAAGTGAAATACCTCCCATTAAACCAAACATGCTATTAGAATACAATTTAAGATGCAATTAATAATTTTTTGATAATTAATTTTTGGTGAAAAATAAAAATTAACTTTCAATTTAGGAACCATCCAATTAAAATTATCTAAATGACATTAATACTAAAGTTAATATATTTTTTTTAATTTTGGTTGTACAATGGAAGGCAATCATCTCTCATCATTTATCTCATTCCACTCATATGTTATACGATTTGAATTCAAAACTTTTTACTTCCACTGAAAGAAAATAACTACTGAGTTATTTAAGTCGTTGACAATACTAAGGTTAATATTAATTTTTTATTTCTCTATATAAATTAAAGACGATAAGGTGAATTAATTAAACTGAATTAATTAAACTTTTAATGGTATAGATTAAAAAAATTCACAAATTATAACAATTTAATATGATGATAATCCTAATAAATACTTTTATTAAATTAATTTTATAATTCATAATGTATCAAACTCATATTTACCATTATAGAGTCAATTTGGACCATAAAATACTTTTGTTCCCTACAATCTACCACTCAAGCACTCACATAGTTTAACTGAAGTATTTTGGTTATTTAATTTTAGCAGGCTTTTTAAAGGATATTTAATTTTAGCAGGCTTTTTAAAGGATTTGAATTTAAATGTCAAAAGGTCATGGACTATAAATTCATTGCATGCAGCAAAATCTGAGTAATAAATTTCATTACACTACTAATATCTTGCACTTTTTAATACTCTGCTTTTTTACTAGCTTCTCTGTTCCCTTATTTCCGTACGAGGTAAAATCCTACGTCCAATTGTCATCCTTAAATGGCGCGTGACCTTTGCTCGAAACTCGCGCGTGCTTTACCGCGAAAAGGCAAAGCTCCGTATAAATAGGAACCCGTAATCACCGTTAAATAGTACCCAGTACCGGCTATCCCGGTAACCCTCCGCCGTTATCCTCCGACTTCCCGACCACTCGTTTACTTCGCAGCTGACTATAAAA